TTGGAAATTGGCCATTTGATCTCATCTAAAAATTTTCTGAGTACCATCACCATTCTCTTTTGCTTGTTCTAGAGCTCATTAAGATTATATAAACCCTAACATTTTTGGTCTGGTATTTTTTGTTTATTCAGTATTATCGGGCTGTTCTAGTGGTTCCTGATTCTTTAGATAAGAATCACATCAAAGAGATGATGAACATCCTCCTTTGTAATCTTGGATTCTCATCGGCTATCATTCACCAGGTCAGAACATAATATTGTTTGGATTCTCCACTATAATTTACAGTAGAGTCCAAGGTTTCCTCAGGAGCACCAAAAAAGCTCTAGGTATTAGGGGCTTGGAGACATTCAGGTTTGAATTTTAGTGTACACCAAGGCAAGTTCACTCCTCAGCAATAACCTGTAGGTTACAGCTGTAGGAAGTTCAGTCAAAATATTCTGGTTTTAGGTTAACCCTTTCACTCCCAAGATCTGACTGTTAAATTAATTCTCTCTTGGAGGAGCTTTGCATTTCCTTGTTAATTACTTTTGAGAATTTAGTGTTAGATCAAGATAAAAATTTCTCTCTGATAGGTAGGAGTATTCTTATTACATATTGTCTGGAGAATGTATGGTTATGGTGAAAAATAAGATCAACCCCTATGTCCCTCTGTTTATCAGTTGAATGATTATGCACAATCAAATCTTGCTATTTCCCTCCAGTTTCATATTAACAAATTTAGCACTAAGTGTGTTAAAGTCAATCAATCAATCAATCAATCAATCAGTCAATCAAATCAATCAGTCAATAAACTTTATTTCACCACTGGCAATTCATCAGCTATTTACCAAAGGGATCAAACTATAACTACTGGCACACAACTGTAACTATGAACTACATGACATTGAGAAGCTGCTTTTGGTGAATGCCTTCCTTATACAGCATTGCTGATTGCATGTTTAAATGACCCAAGGGATTCCATGCACCTACCCTCAGAAGGAAGGCTATTCCACAATGAACTGCCACTATCACTGAAATTACCTTTGAAATAATTTATGTCAGTAATCGAACATTTAGTTTGTTCTCGGAGTCCTTTCAGTTGTATTCATTTGTTTGTAGCTTGCATTCAAAGAATTTCAATGTTCTGACATATGATATGATTTGCTTTTCTTCATTTATTACAGGAGTCAGTGTCCTCTGTATTTGGTTGTGGCCTAAGTGCTGCTTGTGTTGTTGATGTTGGAGATGAGAAAACCAGTATTTGTTGTGTAGAAGATGGCTTGGTCATCCCTAGTTCACGGTAATAACATTTTGATGGCTGGTCTTGCAAACATGTACACTGTGCAATGTAAAATTTTGACTCAGAACTGCCAGCACACAAGAATTTTTTTTTCAGTTTTATTTCCTTTGTTCAAAAGGACATCTTTGACATGGAGTCATTATGGAATTTTTTTATATTTTCACTTCTTTTCCACATCATGTTAGCATTTTGATTCTTGTCATTTACCATTTTGAAGTCTTTTCTCCTCTCTACATGTCTGTAAGTAACACATTTATGTGGGTGACAAAAAGATTTCATTTGTGTTTTTGCATGAAGACATTAAAGGGTTGATTGAAGCCTATTCTGAAATAGGTATAATTGTAATAATAATTATAATAATAATAATAAGTATTATTAATAATCAGTTACTGTATCAAAATATAGTTTAACTGACAAGTTGATGCATTTTAGACTATGGCTTCAGTATGGAGGAAGAGATATAACCAGAGCCTTTTTCTGGCTGCTAAGAAGGGTGAGTACTCTGCAAGTCTCATAAAAGGTACAGCAGTAAGAGAATGGGTCCAGGTTTCTGTCACAGGTAGGGATTACATGAATAGGATGTTGGCTCATGAGAGATTACCTTATGCCCAGCCTTTCCTTGGGTTCCACTGACAGTTTCCTAGTACCCACGAATACTCATGAATGGAGACTGAGGCACTGTGAAAATAGAGGATCTTGACCTTGTTGAGGACTCATTGGCCAAGACTTTGTGACTTTGGCTGACCATGGGGACATTGTGTCATTCATACTTTAAATAGTGCTCATTAAAGGAGCTCAGTGGGTTTTGCTTTTAAATTATCTAATCGTAGAGTGGTACATTCAGCTCTGCTTCTGGTCTCTATAGGTAAATTTTTTGGTTTAAAGTGTACTGAGTCATTGTTTTCATGTCACAAAGATTATATTTAACCTGAGAGAAACTGTTAGCATGATAAGCTTAAAAAAGAAGGTAGAAACAATAAAAAGCATAAATATATTAGGTTGGTATGGGAACATGGAGAAAATTTTTGGAAAGATTTCAACAACGACCCAAATCTCAAGAATAAACTTGTTGATATTATATTATATTAACAGTAAGTTATGCCCTGAGTGTAGCTCAATTAGGTGATTTCAAAGGCCAGACATTAAATTTAAAACCGTTGTAGAACTAATAACAATAGTGTTTCTTTCTGAAATGTTCATAATATAAATTATATAATTTTCATCTAGGTCAACTTTCCTTACAAAGAGTGTGATTCCAACAACAGACTTGACATACTTCTTCTGCATGAGTTAAAGGAAACATTTTGCCATCTTAGTCAGGTACAGTTATGCAAATAAGTAAGATAAAAAAAATACTAAATAGATGTGCCTGTTCAAAAAAGCTTGAATTCTTTCATGGTTGGCTAAGATCTAGTTGCGCAATCCTATCCTCTCCCAGCTTCTGTAGCACAGAATGACCAATAATGTTACTATTCCTGTTGAATGGAATGTTAGTTTATTACAAAATGCTATCCTACAGTTTTTTCAAGTTTCTCTGTCAGTTTAGTGGTACAATTTATCTTTTCTATTTTATGAAGCCTATTCAAGTAGTGTTTTGAATTGTACAATATTCAAGAGAAAATTTTGTGCACATCTGAAGGGCAACAGTCAGTGAAAAGGACCCTCAAGGGGTTGGTTTAAGGATATGTTCTATTTCAACTATGAAAGTGGGATATCAGATGTTGTATATTCTTTGTATTCAGGATATTGTTGGTGGTCAAGTGCATGAGTTTCAAGTTCATCGTCCTTTTGAAACCCCTCGTTCATACCAGTTGAAGATTGGAGATGAGGCAATTGAAGCACCAATGGTTTGTGGATAGAGCCTGAGATCTTGTTTTTCTAGAGAAGAATTACTCCCTTTAGTAATAAACTGTTGGAAGTAATGCCTGACTGGTACAAAAATGAAATGAAAATATTTAAAACTGTGCCAAACATTTGTCTTTAAAAAATAAAATCTTAATATTTGTTCTAAAGTAACATTACAAACCCTTAAGAGTGACCAGCATCTAATTTCTCCTTACAGTTATACTGCTGAATCATTCATTAAGATTATGAGAATAAAGGAAATGATTGCCAACCTAAGAAGTTTTGATTGTTAACCAGAGTTTTCTTTGTCAGTACCAAAGAAAATGTATGGGAAAGAGGATGTAAAGGTTTAACACAAAGAGTTAGATCAGATTGTTGTTGTTTTCTTGTCTGATAGTTGTTTATTTATGTATAGGGAATGTTCTTCCCTCAATTGTTTGGTATTGTTGGTGAGAAGTTGGTTTACACCAAGGATTCCCAGTATGATGACCCAGAAGACTTGTGTGATGACAGATACCTGCTTGAGGTAAGAATTTCAAACTTCTGCTCCACTCAATTTTCCTGGCTCAATCGGACACTTGCCTAATATGATAGGGTTTTGTTAACTGAACTTTTATACTTTTTTAATCGGTTGTGTTGGTCAAACTGATTCCTTTTGATATTAACCACAAAGAAAGGAAAGGGTAAATATCCATCAATCTCCATTTAATGTTCAGCCATACTTGCGCACTGTAATTTCATTTTTTCATAGTTTGGTTTCCCTTCTGTGGTTCTTAAACCACAGTTAAAAATGGGTCAAGATCACAATGTGCATTTCTGTGAACCCCTATTTCATTTAGGTTGTAAAACCATCGGATCAATGTCAGTATCTAAGTAACTGCCCCCTACCCCTCCCCTAACCCAACATCAACCCTAAATTGTTATCAGTTGACTGTTGTTGTGTTAGGGGAGGGGTAGGTATGCAGTTACTCAGATACTAACTTTGATCCAAACCATGGAGAATGCAAATGAAAGATATCCAGCAGTCTTGATATCACATTTAGCCGTTGCCACATACACAAACCACAGTAATCAGATTTTGCCATGAGTGATTTCATTATGGTGCTTTTCAATCCACAGTCACAGAGAGGACAGGATCAGTCTAGTAAGCAGTCTTCTGGCTCAAAGATTGGACCCAGTACTGAGACAGTCCCAGATCTCGAGCAGAACATAACAACCACCATGAGGACTGGTAACAAGGATATGAAGTTTGTGTCTGAGAAGAGTTTGGGTCTAGATCAAGCAATATTACACAGCATTAATTGTTGTCGTGAGTAAATCACCTTCACAGTTAGACATTAAATACAAGGCTTCACTCTTAATGGAAAACTATACATTCTGTGTACATGCCACCTTTTCAACAACAAGGCTGTCAAAAGGCTCTAGGGTGTTGGATTTACTTGACGTCAAGTCTGTGAGAAGTTTCATTGGGGCTGTGCCATGTTGGGAGAAGTCTGTGAGGGGTCTGCAAAGGGACAATTGGCCACTTTACCACTAGTGCTGCAGGGCTTCAGAGCCTGCTTCCTAGCTACTCTTCATTAGTTATTTTTTAGAAGGAATCACAAGACTTCTGCAAAGTTAGAGAGAGCCTCCTGCTTCCTAGCCACTCTCAATTGGTTATTCTTTAGAAGGAATCACAAGACTTCTGCAAAGCTATTGAGAGCCTCCTGCTTCCTGGCTATTCTCCATTAGTTACTCTTTAGAAGGAATCACAAGAGTTGTTTTTATTCAAGACACCATCATAACATGTCTGTTGTGTTTTCTAGATACTGCTGCCCCTGAAGAAACAAAGCGTAAAATGTACAGCTCAGTTTTACTGATCGGTGGCGGTTTCATGTTTAATGGTGCTGCAGCTGCATTACAGTCACGCTTACAAGCTAAGTTACCTCCATTGCATCGCAAACTTGTTGATCAGGTTGAAGTGATTGCAAGACCCAAGGTAAAAAAATGTTTTGGTAACTATTGTTGAAAAATGCAATAAGGTTTTTACCTTTTATTGTCAGATGTTTTTAGAGAATGATGCAAGTTTGTGAGAACATTTTGGTTTTTAATTCAGCACTTTCAAGCTCTCATCTTTTTCTGCTTATGAAAAAAAAAAGTTGCAATCATCATGTCTTTCATTTTTACCCTCAAGACAATCTGGTTTATTCTTACCTTACTGAACCATTTGTACTCAATCTGGCTTTTTGTTGCCTTTATTTGAGAAAAAATCAGAAAATGTCTTGAATTTAGTCAGAAAACTTTTATGAAATGATCCTGAATTTGTGTGAGCTGGTATCTTGAACATTACAATTTTTACTCACTTTTCTTTTTGTTTTTTTGACAGGAAATGGATCCACGGACAATTTGTTGGAAAGGTGGTGCAGTGCTTAGCATCTTAGACTCTGCCCAAGAACTGTGGATCAGCCAACGTGAATGGACATCAATTGGTGTCAGGGTACTCAGGGAAAGGTCTCCTTTCATTTGGACAATATGTAATTAAATGTAATTAGTACTTCAAGCAGTGGAAAAGCACTTCAAAACCTTCAGTAACAAGCAATTTTTTTGAGCTGAGGAAGTAGGAACTCACACTGTGCATTGTGAAGCATTTTATTACTGAAAAGCTCTCAAGCAAGATAAACAATATTCCAAACTTAAAAAGAGATGATTTAGGTTCTCCACGGGCCCCAGTAGCCTTTCTCCTTGGCTACTTTTGTTGCCATTTCATCGGCTGGTTTCTTCAGAGAAGGGACAACCCCTTTCATATAATACTGAACTCTTTCCTGCAGTTTCTCAACCTCATTTGGAAGCTCCTTGCTGAGATCAATGTGCTCAGTTGGGTCAGCAGTGATGTTGTACAGTGCAACCTTTATCATGAAGGGTTCACTCAAATTCTGTTAATAAAAAGAAGACAGTCACTATGCTGCATACTTGTTCATGGCTGTAAGTGAAACAAAGCAAAGTATGAATATTATCTCCCTTTGCATTGACATTTTTGTCTTTTAATAAATTAATGAATTGTTGTCATGTTCCAAAAAAAAAAAAGCCATTTACACATGAAACTTGGTGCTTAACTTATCTCAGTCAACCTTTTGCTGATTATCATCAAAGTTCCTTACTTCCCTGTTAACACCCAAAAGAATTTCTCCATTACTAATTAAAAAAAAAAGCTTTCTCCTGGAATCTTCCACAGTTTTTTTTTCTTAGATTTCCTTTCATTTGTACATATACTCCTGGTCAGTTCATGCTAGGAAAACTGGGATGTGTTCGAGCCTGTATGCAAGCCAGTCTCATATGCAACACGTAAATGCCCTGTACTGTTGAAAGAAGTGGCTGCTTTTGTGCATGCAGTAGATGTGTTGATCACATCACATCATAAACATAATGAGAAGGAAGCTAATGGTCAGAGTAGAATTATTAGGAAAATATAAAAGCAGAGAACCTGATCAATCTGTTGGTACCCAGGAGATAATTCTGGAGGCTTATACCATGTGAGATTAGGGACATTCATCAACAGCTTCATGTCATTCACCCGAATCGCAATCCCATCATAACCGCCATCAATATCCCTCAAGTTGTTGTTGCTTGGTGCTAAGTCAATGTTGTGCAGAATCTCAGTTCTAGGTGAAGGGGCACCTTCTGATATTGTTTGCCATATATTGAAACCATCCAGTGGAGGCACAGTGGAATCTCCCTCTGTTAATCCTTGAAATGTAAACCAAATTTGTTTAGATATGAAGTTTAAATACCTGTCTGTCTCATGCCCTAGACAAGAGCCTCATGGCTGTTACCCTGTAATTTGTTTCTCCATTGCCAACCACTTAAATGTGAGGGGAACAAATGCTATCACCTAAGGCCTTATATTCAACTGAAAATAGGGTGTAAGGTTTTTAACCACTCCTTACTAACCATGGAACACTGAAAGTAGAGGAAACAGATCATATTTTCTCAAGTCCTTATTTGTGAAGCCAGACTATAAATATTCTTCAGATGTGCTGGTCTCATTCTTGAAATATTATTACAGCTATAATCATCATTATTATTATTATTATTATTATTATTATTATTATTATTGAGCTAACCAGGGTATTACTAAAATCACTGATTTCCCAACATTGCATAGTTCAAGAAACACAGTAATTGGTATGAACCTGAGCAGAAGGCAAGTAAATTATTTCTTGTCACAAAAACATTGTCACACTTCCCCAAGTTGAGCCATCTGAGGTAAAAGACAAAATGGTTTCCAATTGTTACCTGCCAAGTAAAGGAGAGTTGGGTACCAGTCTGTTACATGGAGGAGTTCAGCACACTTGACACCAGTCTTTTTCAGCATTTTTCCATGAACAAAGCCCACCCCTCTGAGCCCTCCCTCCCAAAGGCTTCCTTTGTGACCACGGAGGGGCCAGTTATATCCACCAGCAGGAGGAATACCACCATTATCAGTGGTAACAATCAGTAATGTGTCATTCCACAAACTACAAGACAAATTGGTCACATTTATGTAGCACAAATTGCTAATATTGTTTAAATGTGATGGGAATTATTGCAGTGCAGGATAGCAAATGGTAATTGCAAGACTTTGTAAGAGAAAAATCATTGTGGATTCAGCCAAGCAACCTGGATTTTTTCAAAACCAAAACATAAAGTAAAAAGGTCTACATTAAGATCCTCACAAGGAGAGCAGGTTTTTTTTTCTCTATCCTATTTTCTGGAAGTATGCAGTCAACCCTTTACATCCTAACATCAGTATGCATATTTATCGTACTGTTCTCAAAACATTTCCTAATTTGCTGGCAGGGAGAATTTGTTTAACAATCACAAGGTTTTTCAGTTGATTATCGTTTCCTTTATTTTCATGACCTCAATGTTTGATTCAGGGGGGTGATACTGAAAGGAGAAATTAGATGCTAGTCACTCTTAGGGATTAAAGGGTTAAGCAATCTACAAAAATGCTCCTTTTTTTCCTGTCAATGCCTGTGTTAGGTCAGATTATTCTGATCAGTAATTCACAGTTTTATGTGATAAACAAGGCCTGCTAATCAAACTTAAAATAGGCTTGTAGGAGATGACTGTTTACTCTGACCAAGGCATATCATCCTAACATCAAGCCTAGCGTGGCCACAAGTTCTCTGGTTTACTTGGCAAAGCATTTCAGTTACTCTTTCCTTCAAATTACAGCTTAAAAGCGTCCAAAGAGTCTGTCACTGTATAACAAGGGCACTTTATCCCTTTAACTGTCAAGATCTGATGGTTAATTCTCCCCTGAAGCAGTGACACATTTCCTTGTAAATTTAGTTATAAGATTTTGGCATCTAGTACTTGCTAACTTTGAGTATTCTCATAACCTGTTTCCCTGGTAATGTTTGGATGTTTTATTGATAGAATTTACATGTCAATCACTTCTGGGAGTGAAAGGGTTAACTGTAACTTGGACTGACATTTTAGTGCAAATTATTGTCTACTCTTCACTCACCCTGATTGCTCCAAAGTTTGTGTTACATTCCCAATTGCTTCATCAACTATGTCAACCATTGCAGCATACTCTCGTCTTGTCTTCTGATCAATGAATTGATACTTGTCCACATACTCTTGGGGAGCTTGGGTTGGTCCATGTACATTTTGAAAAGGCAGGTATAAAAACAATGGCGATGAGGCATTATGGGATAGGATAACTTTCTGTGCTTGCTGAGGGGAGTCAAACAATAATTACCTTTCAACACATTAACCCTTTTACTCCTAGAAGTGATCAATTTGTTATTTCTTCATACAATATCAAAACATGGTTAAGCAAAAAAGTGATGAGAAGAAGAAAGTGTATCAACTAAGGAGTGTGTGTTTGATTTCATACCAAATTCTCAGTGACAAAACTATAAGAAGTGTGTGGTAGACAATAAGGAGAATTGATAACTAGACTATGTGTCATGTTTATCAAGGTCAGAGGATATTTAGAGGGAGGGAGGGAGGGAGGTGGTCATGGTTATGAATTTCTGTGCATCTTGCATGAGGTGGCTTCTATGGTGGGTCTACTTTGAGTATCAGTGGCCTCATATTTATGCGGCAATGCTTGAATGCAAGACTATCATTGGGATAAGGGGGTTAACAAAATCAAGAGTTCAAAAACAATAAGATGTGAAGTTAAAGGATCGTGATTTTTCAATATGACCATCAGAAGTATAGCTAGCCTTTCATTTGGTTGTAGGCCTGTTCCCTATGAGAATTCAAGTTTTGTTTCAACATTTGCAAGAGTCATGTTATAAATGTCAAGCAGGCCAAAAAAAATGGTAGGCCCTGCAGGCCTTCAGGTTGAAAGGCTGGCTTCGTCCCTGACCATGATATTCACCAGTTCTTTAACTCTTTGTTACCTTAGCAAACAGCCTAGCTGAATACAATCCCCCTTTATCTTTTACTGGCTCCTTGTTGTCATGCAGATCTAGAATACCATACTTTTCATGATTAAAATGGTCTTCAGACCCTGTATAAAAACCATAAAATGAATCGAATCCACGGTACGTTGGTGTATAAGGCCATTCATAAAAACCAAGATGCCACTTTCCAACAATATGTGTTTCATAGCCTGCCAAAAAATCACAACAATTACATTTACATAGCTAATTTATTACCAATGATTATATCCACTAAAACTAAAATGGTTAAGAAGACTTAATGTATCATGCGCTCTATTTTGGCTCTAAATGCCTAATAACTAAGCCTATACATCAGCACTTTGGATGGACCATCAAGCAGAATTCCTGTTGAGATCTTGGGAGCAAAAGGGTTGATGCAAGAAGTATGATAAGGACATCTTCATGACTTCATGTAAATCAGAGCAGTTTTAACAACCAGTATTTAATTTAATATCACTTGTTATTAGCAAAAACAAAGAACTGTTAAAAGATTTTACCAGCTTTCTTGAGCATCTCTGGTAGGGTTGTTAAGTTCAGTGGTAGTCCATATGGCTCTGCTGGCCGTATCACTCCATGCTGTAAACCTGAGAACATTAATAATTATTTCATAAATATTTATTTGAAACGGTGCCAATAACATTTAGAAAGCTGGAAGAAATTTCTTGATGAAAACAATATTACTTGAAGAGAGCAAAATCGCATGCAGTCCGACTGCATTTTGTAATGGCAGTTTTACACATTGCTACCCAGCGTGGAGTAAATGTCTATTGGAAGGAACTGACAAGAGCACGAATTTCCCACGCACAATGAAGAGGGCAAAAACGAAATAATTTGTTTAAAGTACTAATTCCTGAACAAGGTAAAAGATGAAAATTTGTTATTCCATCACCCCTGGGGAAGGTCAACAAGTCAAAATCTCCTCAAGATACGCCCTTTCACAACGCTATCGTGAATCTCCACGGAAATATTGTTTACACATAGAAGAATCAATCGATCGACTTGTAACGCAACGCGATAGTCACGTTGTACTCACTGTATACTACGCACTTAAATAGTTTAAAATTTAATCGTTGAAGAGGGTTTGAGATTTCCTGAAGTTCTTCAATATCAGAGCCAATATGTACCCCTTAAACAGTCAATCTAAAATTTATGCTTGATATGTATTTCTTTACGCTGCCCTATGGGCTAGAATGCCACACTATGTGTGGATAAATAATATAGAAAAAGAGAAAAAAAAATGTTGATGAAACTTTTAATAATATACCTGTGTGGATGGGATATCTGCCGGAGAGGAGAGCACTTCTTGTGGGAGAACAAATCGGTTGCACGTAATAATTGTCCAAGATGACTCCTTCGGCTGCAAGCTTGTCCATGTTTGGGGTGTGAATTTTGGAACCGTGAAATCCTACATCGCTCCAACCAAAATCATCAATAACGACCAACACGATATGCAAAGGCTGACTACTTCCTCGAACAACAAAAGATACAGCAGAAAAAGTTAAGAAAAGTGGTAAAAGTGTAGATCGCATTCTGCAAAACCAATCAATGTAAAGATTTCCCGTTAATGTGTCAGTGACCTCCTAGGACCGTCTCCAGTCACGAGACACGAACTTTTTTTTAAGTCACATGACATTATATAATGTTGTACAAACGCACGCAAACCTGAAATTCTAACGATGTCTCCGGCCGTTTTCTCCGTTTATTTTTTCTTGGCTGTTCTCCATTTAGTTAGCAGCTTGAAATCTCCGCATATAGTCCTGGTTGTCATCGATGATCTAGGTTGGAGTGACTTAGGTTTTCAAGGATCTAAAATTCAAACCCCAAATATCAATACACTGGCGGCCGAAGGAGTCATACTGGACAACTATTATGTGCAGCCATTGTGTACGCCAACACGAAGTACCCTCATGACTGGAAGATATCCCATTCACACAGGTACGTGAATATGAACACACAACGCGTGATTTCGCTGATCATAATTTCTCGGTGCCTGTAAAATACTGTGACAGCGAACGTTGTTAGCGTGACATATTGCTTTGCGTAAGTCACACAATCACAGAGAAATGTTGTTAAAAAGATTCACTCTGCAGTGCTTTGCTGTGTTCTTAGGCCTGCAGCACTTTGTCATTGAACCTTCTCAGCCCTTTGGAATGCCATTGAATATTACAACCTTGGCACAGAAGTTGAAAGAGGCTGGTGAGTTTTTGGTTTTTAAGTTCATCTGGTTTAAGGTGTATATGTCCCATCCTCAAAATGAAATCTAATGAGGGTACTCTCAGTAAAGATACACAAAGGTATGGGTTCTTTTTCTAGACAAGGTGTGGCCTAGGGGATTGATAGGTCTGGGTATAAACCCTGGTAGGGTTACTGTGTTGTATTCTTGAGCAAGATAATTTAATCTCACAGTGCCTTAGTTAATCTACCCAGGGGTATAAGTTAGTACCCAAAACCTTTTGCAGGAACCTGGCACAATGACTATAGACTATTCCATGAACTGGTATCCTGTGGAGAGAGAAATACTGATATTCCTAGTTGCTGCATGCTACTGAAACTGGATAACAAGCTCTACCTTGATATAGAGGAGGAGTCAGTTATATCCTTATGTCATTGAAGGAATGTACAGCCTAATCCACAGATGTTAAGTAGGGGAACACTGTAAGGAGAAATTAGAATCCAGTCACTCCTAGGAATTAAAGGGTTAATTTTTTAGCTGTTAAGTAATAAAAAAATTCTCAGCAGTTAAGTAATGAAAAAATGCCAGTTTTGCCTTTGCTGTTCCATTACCACACATTCTCAATGTCATGAAGGCAAAAAAAGAGTGTTGATGAGCATTGAGTAGGATGTTGGTACATCTCATACAGGAGCCATGAAATTTCCTTTGTTGCTTTATATAATGTCTATTCCCACTCATAAGTTTTCCCACGTGTAATATGATTAAATAACAAAATGTGTAACCTAATAAAGGAGACTTCATTATTGGAATAATTTTGCAACTCACAAACATAAATGATGGTTCCTTTTTTAACCAATGGCCTTCAAAAGCTCTTATTTTTTTTTCAGAGGATTTCAAAATCAGCAGAATGATTAAGATTTTGAATATACCCTATTTTTTATTTTTGGCTGGGAAAGGCTTCCAAAATGACCAATGTTACCCTGAATGTCATTACTGAATTTTGCATAGTTGACATTTTTCTCTCAGGAAATAACAGCCAATTAGAGCAATGCATTTAACAACCTCATGAACTACAACATTGGACAAGCATGGAAAGTTGCCTCTATGGAAACATGAGCTTAAAACATTATCAAAATGCTTAGCTTTGACTTTGAGTAAATTTAAAAAAAGCTGCTGAATTCTTTTTTTCCAGGATATGCCACTCACATGGTTGGCAAATGGCATCTTGGCTTCTATGAATGGGAATACACCCCAACCTACAGGGGATTTGACTCACATTATGGGTTTTACACAGGATGTGGGGATCACTACACACACGAACGGCTTGGGATTCTGGATCTCAGAGATAACACATCCCCTGTACGAGACATGAATGGAACATATTCTGCAAACCTATTTACCAGAGTAAGGAAAATTTTTGACAAAATGAATATTTTAGGCTTACTTGTAGAGGTGTTTGGTGTGAGATTTAAGACAGTACTTTGATTTTTTCCTCTGGTGTATTGGGTAAAGTTGTTCTATATCTAATTGGATTCACAGCAAGCACAGAAGATTATTGATAACCACGACTCTTCAACGCCCCTTTTCCTCTACTTGCCTTTTCAAAATGTCCACTTTCCAGTGCAAGCTCCACAAAAATATATTGACAAGTACAGCTTCATTAATAACAAGATAAGGAGAACATATGCTGCCATGTTGGATATTGCAGATGAAGCAATTGGCAATGTGACAAAGAGTCTGGAAAAATCAGGGTAAGTGACTTTGCTCCTAATTTTGTAGATAGTGCAGACATCCAGCCCCTGAAGTTCCTTATCTGAGGAGGATATGAAGAACAAACTCCTTTTGAGGAGGATTTGAAAGGAAATAGAACTTAATCAAGTGATAGATTCCTGATCTTTTTGCAACAACCAAGCATGTCAGCAGCTGACCTGCAATCAATTTATGTAAAAGGAATGTTCATATTTTCTTTCTCTCTTATTCATCCTCTTTTCCTTCTTTTTTCTCCTTCATTCATCATTCTTTCTTCTCTTTTAGTCTATGGGAAAACACAGTATTTGTTTTTACAACTGACAATGGAGGTCTACCAGAAGCAGGTGGATACAACTGGCCACTGCGGGGTCAGAAGAGAACCCTCTGGGAGGGAGGGGTTAGGGGCGTGGCTTTTGTCCATGGAAATATGTTGGAGAGGAAAGGTGTTAAAAGCAGGGAACTACTTCACTCAACTGACTGGTATCCTACTCTGATAAAACTTGCAGGTAAGATACAAGTGCAGCAAGGTACCTTTTTATCGCAACAGATTTTAAAATACAACAATATCCCTCGAAATTTTGATGTTGTCCCCCATTATTTAATGACTAAATCCTTATTTTTTGTTTGTTAATTTTTTTCTTTAATCCTTCAGGGCCCAGTTGTTCAAAAGTCCGTCAACTCTTAACTCTTATCAAGCGTTAAATTTGGTTTCAAATTCATCCTGTTTGAAAAAGCGCAATAGTTTTGTGAGGTTTTAGTTTATTGGAAGGCAAAAGTGATGCGAAAAAACGAACATTTGAAAACTGTCCGCAAAGCTGCGAGGGTAAAATTGGTTCTAATTTATCCTGTATGAAAACGCAAGATAGTTTTGTGGTGTTTTAGTTAACAATTGGTTTTGAGAGCACGAAAGATGCGTAAGAGTTGCTCGAGGCGTAGCCGAGAGCGACTCTAGCTTCTTGAGTGCTCTCCAAACTTCCCAAGTGCTTCATATCTCGATGA